GTATCGAAACACATCCTGCGACAGCTTGTCCTACCAGAGGATCATTCACCTCAAACTGTCTATCCGCACACATCTTCACCAGCCTAGAAACCCACTCTGCGTGGAACAAAGCTTGATCCACTGTATTCTGCAGAAAAGAGCGTGGTTGAAAGTTCCGACCCGCGCGCCGAAGAGCGACGAGTTGGACGAAGGGATTATTGAGGATGGCTTGGGTTGCGTGCATCATCAGCTGGAATAACACCCAGGGCGCCCAATATTCTCTGTTTTCGCTGAGTTCAGAGGGTGGCTGGTCGGGGAAGGGGGCGTTGCGGATGAGATGACGATGGGACGTGATGTTCTCGAGCTCGTATAGCTTGACGGTGAGTTGATTGTGTCTTGAGGTCGCTAGCCATGGATATTCATTCGCTCCGTTGCGGATGTCTCGAAGGTAAGAGATTATGCTGCCCCAAACGGAGATGTAGCCGAGACAGGTTGCGACAATTCCGACGTCTTGGACATTTGCTTCGTATGCATCCGTCAAGTCAGCGCAATATGTCTTCATACCGTGCAGCGTAGTTGGCCGAGGTACGCTCTTGGGATAATTCGGTGCGTGCGCTGCTTCAAACAGAGTGTTGCAATGGGGAGTAAATGTACTTTCCAGGATGGCAATGCTCCAGTGGCATCTCGAGACCGCATCATCAGATTGACGTGAGCCACTGGCTTTTGAGTCTGAGAGACGAAGCGACTCCAATTTGGCTGCCATTCCTATCATCATCCACGCCCTTGAAGACTTTCCAGCTAAATCTACTTAGTAATAAGTAAATATCGTGAGAACAAACGTACCGATGTGATCGCACAAAGCAAGCAGGCACAAAGCCTGCATGACTTCCAACTGCACCAGCCCTTCCGCCGCCATATCAACAACTACACTCCTCGCCGACGTGGTGTAATACTCGATAGCCTTCCCCTCCAATCCATAGTAGAAGTTGTGACTTGTATAGTGCAGAGACAAAGCTAGGAAGCTCCATCGGAGATACTGAGGTAGTGTCCCGATTTTAAGCTGCAGACGTTTCGGGTCAAACAGCGGAACCGGTTGAAAGTAGAGCTTCTCGCGGTAGGCGTTTACAAAGTCTGCTAGGAGGTCTGATGGGGGTTCGGGGTTTGCTGGTGACCTGTTCTTGTCAGTGAGTGGCCGTGGTTTGGGAGATGTATCGTACCATGAGGATGTTTCGGAGAGCATGGCTGTTATGGGAGGCAATTGCGGATGTATACGCGGTGAGTTTGCATGACTACTCCATGAATTGACGTCTTGACTTTGATGTCTGTTCCCAAAGCTTTGGCTTCAATTCAATTAGCTAGGGCAACAACTCAGCCCGAGAACTTACTGTAGCTCATGACTCGATGCAGTTGGAGATATACTAGCATGCTGCGCTTTGAGAGGTCTGCTTTTGCGCATCAGCTCTCTCGTTCATCACAGCTTACGCGCGCATTGACTAACAAGCTTCGAGCGAAGGATCTTCGACTACTGCTGACGTGATTCCGAGGCAGATAAGTACATGTTTGATTCGCCATCCGACAATGCGAACATCCCGGTTTCTCAGCAGGACATTTAATCTTCTTCTCCCTTTCGCCATGTCAGTATCTCATCTTCATCACCACTGATCACGTACCGACAGCGCTCACAAGAGCGCCTTACACGCGGTTCGCCTGTAGCCCTCGGCATTGGTAATACCCTAACCGGAACTCGTTACGAGCAACTATTGGTAAATGTTCGGAATTCCGGTAAGTTCAGTTTCCTGGGGAAGAAATTAATATTAGGAAAGTCAAATTCCGGGCGTGGGCTAAAAGTGATGGGAGGAGAAAAGCTTCGGCCGGCGTCATGAAGATCGGAGAATGAAACCCCCCACAATGTGTCATTGAGAAAGAGTGTGATTCGTCGGTCGGAAAATGTCAGAGAGATAAGATGGCCGAATGGAGAATGTGGAGATTAATGCCGTGTCACTTGATCGGGATGGATACCGATGGGGAACGAGACCGGGTTCATGAGCCGGTCAGAAGATAAAATTGGGGTATAAACGGCTACAAAGCCTTGATACAATTGATCTGTGACTGTGATTGAAGCTGTAGGCTTGGAAAAGACAACTCCAGCCTCACCAATTCTCAAAACCTCCTCTCATCCTCACCATGGCGACGAGTTATTCTGATTCTTCATCTACGCAGCAAAACCCTCATCGTCAGGCCATTTCCTCGGCGCATTACAGAATTCGCAATCCGCATCATGCTGATAAACGGTCGTCTGCAGTGTTTTTTTCACCTCAGTGCAAACCCCATTCCGTTTGAATCCATCGCACTTCCATATCTTGTAAGTCACCGATTTGATGAACCGTTGGCAGTACTTGCACAGCCAAGTCTCTTTTCTTTCTCGACACATTTTGGGATGAGTGTTAGCAAACCGTACGTTAGTGAGGGCGGTGGTGCAATATTAGCAAGGTGGTCAAGACGGTGGTGTGAAATTCTTTCAAGCTTTGCCGGCGTTTATTGAGACGCGTGAGTAAAGGTTCGGGCCATGCCGGGATGAGAGGGAGTATTTATACGTTTGCAGGAAAGGTGATATTGAGTTTGTGAGATGGAGTGTATCCTTATCACGGTCTTTGAGGGCATTTGAAAGGCACATTGTTTATCCAATGTCGTTAAGTTCGCATGTTCACTGACCCGAGGCGTCACCCGCGTGTTGTTCACTGTAAAAATGCAGTATGTTCACCTATAAGGTCTCTCACTTCTTTGTCTCCTCGGCTATCTGAATACAGCACGACCGACCTCATCAGAAACTCCTACGTGAGTTTAGTACTTGTAGTTGACTGCATACTATGTGGGTGACTCAGGCCTAGAAGGTTAAGCTTTAGGCTGCGAATACAGGTGATGAATGAGAACACGATACTTCTTTTTCCCAATATAAACTTTTGCATAGAGGCTTTCACATTGAGGGAGTTTAGTACTCGACAACATTTATTCGCCATCTTGAATGCTGAGGATATTCACGATATGTTGGTACTGGTAACATAATGTATGCTCTATGATGCTGCGGCATCTTGACATAAAGCACAATGTTTGCAGCTAACATATTGAATCACTCCAGAGTATGACCTGATTTTTTATTTCACAATGTTTCCGGTTTGGTTTACTGTGATCTGTCGGTACTAGAGGCTTTTACGTGTGAAGAACCGCCATCAGCAAACTCTTTGGCCTGGTGCGACGAAACGAAAGCATGGTCATATTCCCTATCAACTATCATTCTCTGTGTGAGCCACATTCCTTACTCTTTATCCATACCCATTGGTTCGATACTCTATGCTGCATTCCCCATCCCTGTCCAGCATTCATTCATCCTCCATCACAACTACTGTGATCCAAGGACAGCGTCGACAGTATCACGCACGACCATGGCAATCGCCATCCTGATCCCGCTAGCTTCTGCCATGAATTACAATCGATCACTCCAGGTCAAGAATCGACGCAAAGCCGAAATGGCTTCGGCTCTTTCACGAGACGCATCACCCGACATGATTGCGGCTATTTCAAGAGAAGTCTCGTCGGCTGGTTCCGTAGCCGCCACCTCATTGCTATCCGCATCCTCCATCTCAGCATCAAAGGTACGGTCCGCTCCAGGGAACGGAGAAGACCTAGAAGCCTCAGATGGTACATCCGGCACGCCTGTTTTCGCAACCGCTTTGCCCTTCCCCTTGTTTGTCGCTGCAGGGAGAGAAGGCTCTCGGTCACTCGTAGTGGGCAAATCGATCGAGGGCGAGGCGGATGGGTCCTTTGGCTGTTCATCGACTTGAGGATGTCGTTTGCCCAACCACTCGAGAGCTTTCCGGACTTTAGGATCCGATTTGGCCAGTGCACCAGGTAACTAGCCCTCCTTGTCGACTTCCAATTGCTTTGGCAGTGTCATCGTGTACTCCTCTTGGGGGCGCCCGGTATCCAGAATTTGTTTCTTCAGCTCTTGTATCCTGTTTCTTTTACGCTCCACCTCAATTTCCGTTCGGTTTTCATCCGCAAGAAGTCTTTTCAGGTCTTCCTGGGCTTGTGTCTTTAGACTGGAAAGACTGCAATGCCAGCAGGCGTGCATTCCGACGAAGTCCCGGCGTTGAGTGTAGGGTCGTATTCTGCGCTTGCATATGAATCCGTCTTTTCGATAGAGTACCTCATGACCCTTTCTCTTGCGCTCCTCTTTTTCGACCTTGGTCATCTTCACTGGAGGCTTGCCGCTGCATACTTGATGGGTCACAACCTAGATGATGACTCTCTTGTTGCAGTTCTCACAGCACAATTCGTAGCTGGACTTTTGACACATGTTGGTAGTGTACGGGTGCGGATTGTCGATGCTGATGATGTTGGTGGGGATGCTGAAAATGGATGATGGGAGGGGATGATGGAGCAGTTCTTTGAGTCGGGGTTGCTGATGCAGTTAAAGATCGCGCGGTCGGTCAGTAGTAAAGGTGTCGTTCGTAATGACGATGAATATTTGATGGCGATGGCAGAATCTGAGCTGATGATGATGATAGAATTCTTTGATGTACAGATCAAAATGGAGACGGAGGAAGATTGTTGTTTTTCTTTCCATTGAGGGAGAATGGCAGGTTGGAAGTCGCAGTGGGTAAGTGCATTGACCATCAAGGAAGGTGAATCATTCAGGTGCCGACGAGACTGCAACTGCCTGGACCTTGGAAGTCTTCCCACAGCCCAAGTCGATGGCACGCTAAGGCAGTGCGCTAATTGCCTCGTGTCCTTTACCTTGATGATGAGACTGAACCTTTTCTTGACTTCTCTAGCATATAACCTCATCACGGTTCCGATGTCCGGAGAGGGCCAGTCTTGGATGCACGTTCTCAAATAGTTGATCAGGTATAAGTACTGTAAATTTGACTATGAACAATAAGAACAGGTCGTAGGTATCATGCAATCTCGTCTTCAACATCACTCATCATAAATACCCATCATATCTCAATCATCACCATCCCTTACTCTCGGTGCGTAGTTCCAGCATGCTCCTCCTTATGATGTCCCATTCCACCATCAGTAACACCCGACGGCCTCGCAAGTGTCTCATCATCACTAGACGCCGCAGGAACAGCAGTCTCGAGGTCTGTACCAGCCTGCTTCCTGATCCTCGACATCTCCTCAGGAGGAGGAGGAACCCACTTGGCACTCTTAATAGGGTTCACCTTTTCAAGATACATGGTGTCAATCTCCTCGAGCGTACGTCCCTGTCCTTCAATGACGAAGAAGTAGACGAGCAGACCTCCGAGGACATTACATCCCGCGAAGACGTATCCATAGCGGAAGTCAATGTCCTTCGTGATAAAAGGCGTGAAGAAAGCGAGGAGGAAGTTCCAAAGCCAATTGCTAGCAGTTGAGAGAGCCATGCCCTTGGCACGATATCGCGAGGGGAAGATCTCAGCCATGATAGTCCAAATCATAGGACCCCAAGTCGTAGCAAAGCCCAGAATGAAGAGACAAGCAAAGACGATCATAGCAATACCTGCGCCCTGCGTCTTGGTGGGATCATTGCGATCGAGTGAGAAATGACCAACAGATGCAAAGATAAGGAAGCAGATGAACATCCAAGTACTTCCCGCAATAAGCGACTTGCGTCGACCGTAGTGCTCAACGATATACAATCCAATAAACGTAACCAGGAAGTTAATCGTGTTCAGAATAATCTGCGTCTTGTAGCTGTTGATAGACACAGACTGAAAGATGGTAGTGCCGTAGTAAAAGAAGTAATTCGCACCAGTGAGCTGCTGAAACATCTGAAGCGACATTCCGATGAAAATACGATAAGCCATGCGCGGCGCTTTAAACATGCCGACGAATTCTTGAACGGGGTTCTGCTTGACGTGACTCTCGGCGCGGAGCTTGGACTCGATCTCTTCCATTTGAGTATGGATCGCCCAGTGATTTGGTGTCGCGCCGTAGACCTTGCAGAGGGTTTCGCGCGCGCGATCAACCTTGCCATTGCGATAGTCAAAACGGGGCGTGTCGGGCAGAAACAGAATTCCAATGCCGAGAACGAGAGTGAAGACCCAGCCGACGCCGATGACGATGCGCCAGGATGCTGAGCTGTCGGGATGGTGCGTTACAGTGCCGTAGTTGAAGCACGCAGCCAAGAAAATACCCATCGTCTAAGCAAAAAAATGTCAGTGCAATCCTTGACGCTTTTTCTCCACAGATCGTCGGAACAGGAAACTTGGCATGCCAAGAATTAGGCCACTTACAATAAAGAGCTGATAACAACAAACCATTGCACCTCGAATCCACGGTGGTGCAGTCTCGCCCTGGAACATGGGAACGAGCAGAGACAAAGCGCCGACTCCGAGACCAGCGACCCATCGGCCCATCATGATCTGCACCCAATCCCGGTCTGAGGAAATCTGGATGATGAAGCCAATAGCAATAATCCACGTCCAGCCGGAGATACTGTACTTTCTTCCAATGCGGTCGGCCACAGGCGCTGCGATTAGTGCGCCCATGAGCGTACCGATTGAGAGAAGCGCTACGATGAGGCCTGAGCGGACGGTGCTGAATGCTTTTTCTCCCTTGCTGTTTGTCTGGGCGAAACGATCGAGAAAGTCTGGCATCTCGAGGAAGCCTGAGATTTGACCTGTGTCATAACCGAAGCTATTTTCATCAGTGCCTGTTGAAGAGTAGAGCGGCTGGGTAACTTACAGAAGACCGCCCATGGAGACAAAGGTAGCTAGGAGGAAAGATCGGGGCGTGATGCGAGGCAAAGGTGAGTAATCAAGGCCAGCGAGAGATCTCCTCGCACCAGCCTCTTTGCCCTTTTCAGAGTTTGGATTCTGGTCATCGAAATGAACAGTGAGGAAGGACGGCGCCATGATGGGCAGTCAAATTGTATCTCTACAGTGTATAATAGTATGATGTAGTAATCTAGTGATGATCCAAAGTCAATTGGTGATTGAGTTACTCGACGAAATGGAGGGTGTCGAGGATTTAAATACATACTAATCAAGAATGACGTTATAAAGCAAAAGTGTGATACTTCGTGATGTCAGGCCTGAAAAACAGGCGTCCAATGAGCCGCACTCCCATGCCCATCCTGGCTGTCCTGGTCTCGAGACCACGAAATCGGTCCGTCCCATTTTTTTGCTTCTACCAATTCTGTGGGGTTAACAAGGGGAATGCAGACAATGGGTCAATAATTGGGTAATGGGGTGAATAATGGGTAACGGGGTACCACCTCCACGGGGTTGTAAAGCTGGGGAAAGCCCGAGACATCTCACATCTGACACCTCATGGCATCGAAGGAACAGTGTCTGTTTGGTATGACGATATGGCTTTTGGGATCTTGTAGTGGCTGCAAAATCAACTGAAACGGCGCTGTAATGCATTAATCCCAGCACTTCTGATTGGGGGAAATGTCCCCGTGATGGCTTGGATGGCAGTTTTGGTTGGGAGCGTTAGTGACACTAACCCCTGTTCAGTACTATTCTGGATTCGGTTCACCATCAAAACATGACGACACCCGAGGGATCCGGAGAGACCATGGCATTGGATTCAATGAGCATCAGTTCATGACATTCTCATGTCGAGATTGACTCTGGCTCAAAGTCAATCGAGTTGTGGTTCTACGAATCTCTGCACTCAGATCTCACCGTTAAACTCTTCTGTGAGACAGTAGATTATCGCCCAGCCGTCAAAATCTCTTGTCGAAACTGCCAAGCCCCGTTTGCCGATCTCCCACACAAATCTTGGCAAGCGAAGCAATGACGCCAATCTCAATCCCCCTCAGAACCCGACGATCTCATCCATTCTCTCCATTGAACATCCAGGTACCACGACACTTCCAAGAACTTCTAGATACCGTACCTTGAACGATTACCCGCTCTTCGTCTCCGAACGGCCCTGCCTCGGCCGAAAGCACTTTTATCTTTTCTTATTTCTCCATACCCCGTGTTCCCCATTCTCCATGGTCACTGTCACTGTATTTGTTTGTTTGTCTGTCATGGGACGTGGGATGCATGTATCCTTCAGCCGCGTCCGGATGTCCGGTATTCCCAGCGCCACTGCGTCATAGGCAATCCTGTCCTGTCAACATTGTTCAGAAATTGTAACGAACTTCCCCAGAAAACCAGTTTTTATGCTGGTAATTTTACCTAAAGCGTAACTTAATTCCACGTGCTTCCCCAATCTCCAGTTCGTTTATCTAAGCAACCGTTTGCCTTCAACTCTCACGAGTCAATAACGATTTGTTCTGGTGGAGGAACTGCATCATGTCATCGTCGGGGAATTTAATTTGCTAGCGTGGTGGTATGCCGCTTTGTTACCCTACACAAACTCCTCTTCGTGTTCGCATCGTGGTGTACCTGAATGCCGAGCCATCCGTAGGGCTGTCAGCATTTTGAAGAATTCGTCAATGAAATCTTCAAGAGAGTATCACTTGACGATCTGCGTTTTTCATGGTATGATAAAAGGCCCGACAGCGACGCGTAACATCGAAAGTCGATAGTCGGCTTCACGATCCCGCAAGAATGGTATTGTTATTGGAGCGGTTGGCAGCCCATGGGGCCCCATAATCGGGAATATACGGTTATTGAGGTTTGCATTTGCGACAAGCTTATCTTATGCTGCTTAACAGTGCCGAGGTAAGTTACCGGGTTGTTCGGTGATTAGGTAAAAGGCTATGATGCTGGAAGTGCCCTTCACTATGGGGTCAATTGAAGTAGTGGTTGGCAGCATCTCTTCCATGCAAATGGAGCAGCAATATGTTATTTTAAGATCGCAAATCTCTGTTCGGTTGTTTTATTATCGTAACCTGCTTTTTACCCGTCATTCAATGAAACATGCCACTGCCCAGGCCGGATGAGCTCGATGCAAACTCGTTGAATTTAGACGCCGACTTATCATGCAGTGACTGATAATCGAAATACCAGCAGGATACTACCTCCATGAAAGCTCTCTCACCAACATGTGAAGAACCATGTATTTTTTGGTCACTTCTCCAAACACCACTATACTAGTATAACTTCTTGAACAGGAGCATCGTCAAAAAATGCGGGTGGAGCCTCTGGTTTCTTGAATAATTCATCGAGGCTTTCTTCATCCATTGGCTCATCCAAACAGCTCAGATGAGTAGTACTGAACAGAATAAACGGCTCAGGCTGTGGTCTTGCTAGATATCCCGCGCCCAGTCGACGAAATACCGTATTGTTGTTATGACTTTCTTCTCGCAGTAACAAGACAAAATCGTCCAAGTCCGAAATGCTATCTTTAACGTTGGCCGTAAAAAGGCGGAGAAGAAACAACCGATCCTGATCAAGGTTCATTTTAACACTGTCGAGATATAACAACAGCCCAGGCGGTTGCCCATTTTCAGATCCTTGTCTTGAGTCGAATGTATTGTCGCCGTCGAGGAAGGGCAAGCTTGCACTTGTAGGATGCTGAAGCCTAACAGGCTTGAGGGAACCTGATACTCTAAGCTCCGCACCTTTCAATTTCGATGCATATGGAGGTCCTGTCCAGTCACAACTGTAGTGAATTAGCTTGACTTTGCTGTTCTCCTCAGGAAAATGACCTCCATCTAAAAAGCACAGATCGTCAAATAAGTTGTGGATGCGCTTGGCTTTGGACGAGAACCAGGTCCAGCTTGGAATGCTTGCAGACTTATTAGCTTTGGGGATCATATGAAGACTTTGTTTATTGTACTTACCCCTCGAAAGTATCATTGCTGTGGCGAGTTTTGCTGCTCGCTGGTGTATAGCCGTACCAGGCTAGATCAATCCAGAAAGTGCCATCCCAAAGACCTAGGATGGGCCGTTGAAGCGATATGTGCTCGTAGTGTTTGATTAAACCAGCCATGGCAGGTATTCTATCACTATCAAAACTGAGATGACGGGCGCTGAACTCGGATACCCACTTGAACCAAAGGAAAGGCCTCTTTAATGAGTAATCAAATTTGAATTCCACCAGGCTGGGGAGCTCCGACAGTCTGCTACTGATAACATCATCCTCTGAGTTTAGTCCAAATGTGCACTGATAGAACATCTGGGTATTGGTAAAATGAATGAGTCGAGTCGACAGAATCTGTTCTTGAAGGACCCATGCTCTCTTGCTGAGTGGTCCGTCAAGTATCGCAGCTCTTGAAGCTACTGGATGACGAACCAAGCAGCTCTTAGGAAGCTTTTGTTCAAATTCCGGTGGAAACAACTCGGGGGAGAAGTTCACAGCTTTCGCCGGGGTTTGGCAGTCTAGAAATAGCCCTCCATTTGCGTCCGGTGATGAGGAAGCTGCTAGAGTCAGATAGGATCCTCTGTAGACATCGGCCATTTTGGATGCCTCCATCGCCCAATCATCACCATCATTCTGGATAATGCAGAGAGAGTCAATCCAAATGAACCATATGCCAATCGCTCTGGTTACTTTGATGGCATCTTGGAAGGTCTTCGGAAGAGAATGAAACGAGATGCGTGTCATCTTCTCATGGACGTTCTCACGAGTAGCGCGAGCTGCGTGATTGGTATTTGAGCCCCAGCAATGGCTTAAAGCTGTGTATTTGATGCGGTTCAACTGGGACAGGTTGGCTGTACTGACGAGTCGGAGATCTCCGTCATCTACACTCGCATGAAGGACAAGGAACCGTGCTGGACGCCTAACTTCTGGCACACGGCATTCCTCATGATCAGTCAAGCAATTGCCAAGCCAGTTCTGAATTGTCTCAACTCTTGCCTCGAATTTGATGTGATCCGTAGTCCAGATAGCTCGTTTTGCAACCCAAGCTGAGGTTATATTGTGTTAGTCCGTCGCTCAATAGTGCTGCATCAGGAACTTGCCGTGTGGCTGAGCAAAGGCGATCCAAGACAACTGCCCATGATCATCTCTAGGTCTGCGGAATGTGTAGTGGTATTCAAATTTTGGCAAAGGGACTAGGCGAGCTAAGCTGGTGTCGGTTGAGCTACCATGACTATATGCGCCTGTTTTATATAAGTTATCAAAAAAGTAGAAGTCGCTGTTCCTGTTATAAACAGGCTGAGAGAGTGTTTCTGCGTTTTTCCAATTCGACGTATGCTGTGCCGATGGAAGGAGATAAATGGCACCTCGGCGTCTTACGGCAAACTTAGTGTCAAAATGAGCCTCGTTATAGTCGATGGTAGAACTTTCGAGGAGGAAGGGAAGCATCAATGAGCATAGCTCGCAAGAAATTGCAGATTTTTGTAGCTTAGAAATAGAGTCGTAGTGCTGAAACCTGTGTAAAAGCCGATCATCATAGTCCGAAGGATACATCGCAAATTCCAAGATGGAGAAGGGTTCCAAGTCCAAGGCACGTTTGAGACCCCGACGGGCGTCGGCATCGAGGAAGAAGTACAAAATGGAGCGCTGACAAACCGCACAATACGACATCTTGGAGAGTCTATTCTCCTACTCAGTAGTCATGCTATTTTTAATTAGTTACAAAAAGGTTATGGACATCAGGACAAGGTGAGAGGGATGCATGATATGATGATGAGAAGAGGGGTACCGACGTGGTTGGTTCCTATAGGCTCGCACAATGAATATGCTGCAATGGCATTTTTGGCCAGTACAACTCCGCTGACCTATTTCGAGTAATTATGTAAGTAAACCCTGCTTACATCTGATACTAGCTTTTCGGGCTAGAGTTAGGTTGCCTTAATGCTACTGTTCAGGTTGTTCCACATTTACAGGGTTTGATAGTTTGAGGGTAATGATTAGCTTTGGAATAAACTGTTAACATTCTGGCCCCAATATACTAGCAAGACATTCATCAATACTTTATCCCAAGACTCCAAAAAGATCAAGCCTAGCATTGCTACATTGGGTTCACATATAGGAGCGCCCACTAGCACGGCAATATTACTTAGCATCACCTCTGGTCCTTTAACTCTCCACGCTCCTTAACAACCCTCGCAATCTCATCAGCAACCTCTGTCCCCAACCCTTCAAAGCCCTTAACAACTCCCTCCCTATCCCCAACCCCCATCTCCTGGCTCATCTTAAACTTGCCCTCCAACTTGGTAACTTCAATCTCAATCCCAATAATATTCCTCTTCAACAACTCAACATACTTCTCCGGCGCATCAGACACCTTCCACTGATTCTCAGCCGTATACCCCATCGCACCCCTCTCATTATGGTCCGTAAGATCACTAATTGCCTGTCCCAGAAACGAAGACGTCTCTTCATTGTTCTCGTAGTAAATCCTTGCCTTTCCATAAACCTGCGCTGCGGCGTAGTTCCACGTCGGCACAACCTTTCCATTCGCTGGTTTTGTCTCGGTGTAAAATTTGGGCGTTACATAATGATGAGCTGGCTTTGTGAAGATTACTAGGACTTCGTCTTCGAGATAGTTTTTGAGAGAGGGGTTGGAGGTGCAGTGCTCGATCATGGCTTTGCTTTGGGGGTTTTGACGGGCCAAGTGGCCGCAGAGACGACCGAGCTCTGTTTCGCTGGACTCATCTTTTACGTCGAGAAGGAACGGGATGTGACTGCTTTGGAGAAACGAGTTGGTTTGGGATTTTATGCCGGTTGTGAGCATTCCAAGGGGGTTTTCGTGGATGAGACGGCGAAGGACGCGGAGGTCTGCTTCAGCATGGGCGGCGCGGATATACATGGTTGGTATGTCGGGTATGTCTTGTATTGTCGTAGTAGTTTATTTGGAAGTAAGATATTGAAGTCTTTATGCCAGTGTAGAATGGACGAATATCGCAAGTAATAAAGGTTTGGCGGAGGAGGCGGGCCGCCAGTATGAGAGGGCGTCGTTCACCTCGACCGGGCCGGTCTGGATCGGCGAATCACAGGCACAGTCATTCAAAGCAAGGTCTAGAGCGCGCGTAGGTACAGTGGGGTTTATGATTGGCCATTCACCTAGCGTTATCGGACCTGCTTCCGAGGGTCGAAAACGCTTGACTGTAGAGGTGATCAATTGAGTCACAAACTCTCGGTCTTGAACGCCGAACAGCATTGACAGATGAGACATGATTGAAAGGCGTTGATCGTAAAGAGACTAATCGATTTTTGGTCTGGCCTGTCTATCTAGATGTCATTTTTCAAGTCCACTATCAAACGCCAAATTTATCAACCCATGATTCAATACCTCAGTAGTACATCTACAAACTTTTAACCATGATATGATCAGTCTGAACAATAGACCCGATAGTGAAATCATGATCCCCGACCTGTTTATATCCCCATTTCTCATACGCCCTTATTGCCCTAGGATTCTCTTCCCAAACACCAAGCCACAAATTCTTAAACCCCTGCTCCTTCGCCATACTCTCAATAGCCTTTTCCAAAGCCTTTCCAACGCCGGCACCATGAGAATTAGGATGTACGTAGATTCGCTGTAGTTCAACAGTCTTTTCCATGTTTTCTACACAGGGTTCACTGCTTCCCCGGGTGAGATATGCGAAGCCGAGAAAGTCATCGTCCGAGTTTGTCGCGATGATAACATCTTTGTTTGTGTCGTTCAAGTCGTTGATAATTGATGCCTCTGTGTAGGATTCTTCGAGGAAGGCGCTGAGTTCGTGGGGTTCGACGGAGTGGCCGAATGTTATTGTGAAGACATGTGAACCTAGCTCTGCGATGCGAGCAGCATCAGCGAGCGTCGCAGGCTTGATGATGACTTCTTTATGAGGATGTTGGGAGTCCTTGGCAGTCATGATGAGATAAATTGGTGGAACGAAGCTAAGGACAACGATTGAGTAATAAATACTGTGTAGCCGGGGTATGTAATGAAAAAGTTGGCGGTGAGTGGATCTGCAGATTTCGGATCTGAAAATTAGGCTTGGCTGGGCGGCTTGAAATACTTGAACAGTTCCAACTTAGATAAACTCCCCGAGCCCAGAGGTGAACCATGCAGATCTGAACCAGTGGCTTCTGGAAAGATCTCGCCACAGGTCTCGGCCCTGCTTCCGACGAAGACTAGCGCGCGCCCTTGATGTCAAAATCAATGGACCTCGCGTTTGGATTGACCATTTCCGGGACCGGATATGCACAGCTATGACACCAGATTGGGTAATTTTCTGCATTGGGTTTTTTTTCTTATGAAGCTTGCTCTCAACCTGTATCGATGCATTTTGCTCGGAGGGCGCGCAGAATTACAACCATTTGCTCTATACTCGATCCTGGGAATGCCCATCTTTCGCAGATCCTGATTCCCTTGTCCTGCAATTGGTTGAGATCTGGGACTCTGAGGGCGTCTAGTCTTGAGAAGGCTGCGAATGAGAGGAGTAATACTACTGCCATGGTCCTAGATCTGTTAGTAATCGTTATTGCACTCTTGTCGTAGACATACCCATGTAGGAGATTCTCCAAAGATGCAGTCGGCGCGTGTACTGCAAATTCCACTGCATTGAGGTATCTACGACAGTGGACAAGACATTGTCTCGCATTCTCGAGCGTAGCGGGGTTCGGCTGTGTCCCCGGGGCAAGAGCGCAAACCTGATACAGAAAAGGCCTGTAGATAATATCACCAGTGGTGTGATATCGTATAGTAACCATAGTATCATCAATCCCTATCGGAGGAATCTCAAGATTGGGCCTGATACTATGAGGGAGGAGGTGATACCATGCACCCAGCTGACGATTCAACTCGTGAGCTAGATTTGGGAGACTTGACTGCGTCTCTTCAGAGCTATCAGCTTGGTTATCGCCCGTCCCTGGTTCAGCTTCTGCGTAGAGGACGTAGTGAATGCGATTCAAGAGGCGCCGGGACGAGAGATCGGCAAGCCAACGATGCATGTAAGGTTCAGAGGGACCATCGGACCAGGGGTAGGGGAGTTTATCGACGATCTTTTCGATGCCACTCCGAGGTAGATGATGCTCTGCCAGAATGTCACTGGTGATGGTTAGATGAGTCGTTGACAACACAGGCGGATGACTTACCATTCGAGCACGAGAATGGCCCAAAAGACTCGCAGAATTGACTGGTCTTGCGAACCATCTCGCAGCAACTTCTCAGATCTGAAACGTCAGCACATCTCTAGATCCCATTAAAGCTATACACACCTTATCCAATAATGTTGTACATCAGTCGACGCCATATGCACCAACCTCCACGCAAGCAACGGCCTCGACAAATAGCTATAATACAGCGCAGCGAGATACAACGCCTGCGGTAACAAAGGATCACCACCGAAAGAGCATAACGACTCCGTGAGTAATAACCTCACAGCGGGTGTGAAGAATTTTACTCCAGGGCTCCAACTTGCATCCATGCGATTCGGCGTCTCAGCCGCGACAGACCCTAGTGCGAGAACAACGAGGACCAGGGAAGACGTGAGGTCAGGCCGTGCACCGTGGTCTACGGTTCTGTCGTATAGATCGTAGAAAGCTCGTTGGTCAAGAATTGGATGGAAGCGATGAACAAGCTGGAAGTAGTTTCTCACGAGATGGTCTGTTTCGTTGGGTGATAATGTTGGGAGGTCGATTTGGCTCGCTGGTTCCGCGTTCAATCTCAATCCTTCGGGGATCGGTCTTCTCAACTCGATATGGAGAAATAGATCTGAAGGATAGTGTCCCAGCAGTGCTTTTGCCGGCGCAGATCTGAGTAAGTTCCCTGTTGTGGATGAGTGAGAAAGTGGTATGTCCATCGTCGTGTTGAAGACATTGTTATTGGCGAATTGAGACAATGATGTTTGCGTCCCAGGGCCTGTTGAGTGGACTGATGAGGCAGGTACTATTCCATCCTCAGGACTGATTGGTTCGTTATGTCGTGCTATCGAATATGGCGCGTATGGCGTAGAGGCTGGGTAAGGAGTCGATGCTGGGAAAGGTGTTGAGATGGGACTTCGATCCCGCTGACGAGCTATAGCAGACTGAAAGGTCGATTCAAGAGATTCAAGACGATCAAAGATCTCATCAACGCGATCAACTGGGATAGCAATGCGCCTAACCAAGTCAGCCTTGCATGCCAACATGAGAATGAAACTCACTTTGACTCATTTCCTTCATCGCGATACTCGCACTCAGAGTTATTCGCCTCTTCGCAGAGGGTACAGACCGGCTGTCTGCCATCACATTTCCTCTTCCTGCATCAATTAGCACCCTATCACTTGTTTGGCAATACTGACACACCTCTTTCTGCAGTAATTGCAGGCCTTGGCGGCTCGCTTCCGCTTCGCAGATTCCATGCCTGCCTGTTTTGTGTGTCACACTGAAATCTTTGCCGCGGGGCGGATGTCAGGCGGAGGAGGCGGCTGGTCCTCCGCCTTTGGCCAGGGGTGGAAGAACTTTCCGCCGTGTCGGTCGAGATAAGAGACCCGCACTGTTATCGATAAACGGCTGAGAACGCTTCTGTCAGACATCAAACCCAGCTACCCTGAACTTGTTCATCCAGGTATCCGAACTGATCAAAATAATACAAAATGCTATTGTCTCTGATTTGACTACGTAGCACGATTTCCCTTAGCTTATAAGTTCATTCAATTACCACTTAGACGTCAAAAATTACTCGTTATACCTGGGCAATCATTGCTGTAATCTGCTCAACAGCATACAGATAAGCAAAAAGGACAATTTTCATGGTTCTCAAGCCTACAACATGCGATTCATTCCTCATAATGCAGCACTCTAAGCAAATGAGAGATTGTCATTTTGATTAATCTTATCAGAGAAATTGGCCTATACCAACACCAACATTTTATCATTGCACTAATTTGATGGAGACCTCCGCATTTCACCATCCAAGGCTCTGATGACGAAGTGGATAACGTGCAATCCCGGGGATTTGACAAGCTAGCACGCCATCCCGAAATCCCATCGATTTCCCCAAATTGCAAAGAAAACGGATCTGATCACATGGTTCTCAGCTTGAAAGGAATTATTTGCTCGGCCTGTCGGAGAGACGAGACATGGCGAAATTGTAAGCGTCTGTCACCTAATACGAAAGGTCATTCATGAGCGAGTACGAGGATGACAAGACCGAGTCAAATGCTTGCGACAACCGATATCTCGGAGCTCAAAGAACCTCCTCGACTCCGATCATCCAATGAGATCAAGAATGGAACGAGATCCGAGAGAATCCGAGTTCCGAATCGGTTGTCGACCGATGATGCGGATGAAACAACGTTATCGCAAGCGCAGCTCCGGTCTCTCTATCCAATGGATTCACAAGCTAAAGTGACACCATCGACCATGATGAAAGCGCAAGGCCAACGGCATGACTCACTAGACGTGGTGCGTACCTGTTCTTGCGGGGTTAGCGAGGTCAATCGGGATGTCGTAAGTGAAATGACGGATTGTGCGATCTGATAACGCGTAGTGGGGACTGATGTTATTATATATAAGAGAAGCATAGAGCCACGCAAATACTGCCTTCTGTTCCTTAAGATCAACACAGTTCCACAGAGACAGGTTAAATACGGTTCAACATGTCGACTACTGCTACCATCACTCAACAGGCTGAGCGCATTGTGCCGCTCAATGTCGAGGCCAACAAGTACCCAGAGCCTCTCAAGGCATCGGGAGCCCTTGACAAGTTCAAATTTGAAGAGTCAACCCCCGTCATCGGACGCGAATATCCCAAAGTCAATCTCGTCGACGACATCATTAACGCACCCAACGCCGATGAACTAATCCGCGATCTCGCCATCACCAGTAAGTTTCCTTCCAGCCCCCAAACTCATCGCTAACATCTCAGTCTCCCAACGCGGCGTCGTCTTCTTCCGCGCCCAGGACAACCTCACAGACGAACAGCACAAGCAGCTCGTCCACCGTCTCGGCCAACTAACCAACAAGCCGAAAGACTCAACTCTCCACATCCACCCTCTTCTCAACAGCACCAATGAATTCGGTGTAGACGACAATGAGATCAGCGTTATTTCATCAAACGTGGAGTTCTTCCAGGATAGAATCAAAGATCGTGATGATCGAAAGCAGGGCGCTGCAAGCTGGCACAGCGATATCCAATTCGAGCAGTATCCCGCTGACTACACGAGTCTGCGACTCACAAAACTCCCCGCCGGAGGTGGCGATACCCTCTGGGCTTCGGGATATGAATTATATGATCGATTTAGCGATCCCTACAGGAAGTTCTTTGAGGGCTTGACGGCTACCTTTTCTGGCGAAGGGTTCTTGAGGGCGCGAGATGCGAGACCGGATCATTACCAGGTTTACGAGGAACCGAGAGGAAATCCCGCCAATGTCGGTGATGAGCTCAAGGCCATTCATCCCGTGGTTCGAACAAACCCAGTTACGGGATGGAAGTCGATCTTTGCGATTGGAAACTTCCCCAAGCGCATTAATGAGCTGAGCGAGCGCGAGAGCAGAGAGATCTTGGAGTCACTCTACAAGAGGATTGAGCAGAACCATGATCTGCAAGTTCGCTTCAGATGGAGAAGTCCCAACGATATTGGTACAGTACTCTGATTCAAATGGTGGTTGAGTGTAATGCTAATGATGTTTAGCATTCTGGGATAACCGCAGTGCATTCCACAGCGCGACGAATGATTATGATGGTCTTGGTGAGCGCACGGGTCACAGGGCTGTGGGCATTGGCGAGAAGCCTTACCTTGATCCCAACAGCCTTTCGAGGACCGAGGCATTGAAGAGAGCTTAGGAATAATGTTTAGAACTAGCATGCAATTGATCTCCAGAGGCTGCCGGAGCTTTTCCTGTCCTCGGACTTTTTACCCAACACCTTGACCACGTTCCGCTCCAGTATCCTATTTGGGTTTATGCTTGTACAAGAAATTCTAGATTTGTGTTCAAATGGAACGTTGAATCCGAGTTAGCCGGCTTGGCCTCAGGGAAGGTGTTTACCCCTCTATCTCTGCCGTGTCTGCGCCGCAGGGAATATATGCTGTAGCACTGCAGAGTAGTGGGTCGGACAAACAGCCAAGGGCGATCATGATGACAGAGAGAGACAGAGAGTCAGGGAGCTGTATGGACCCAGGACCCTGCTCTTGGCTGTACGATGAATTCTCATATTGATTCACAAATAGTTTTGAGGGAATCTACTACTTGCAGCCGCCAATGTCTACTTGCTTTTCTATACTCATCTAGTCCTGTGTTCAGACATTCCATTCCGCCCCCAATACTGCACTACTAACTCGTTCCACTCTCCGGGCATACATGCAGCTCAACTCCAATTAGAGCTGGTTCTGTCAGTTTAAACTCCGAGCCCGCATGATCCTTGTCACGGCCGGTCCATCCGGGTCTCCTTTCAGCTGAATTTACGAGCCGCTACTAAAGATCTGCGGATTTAGGAACTTGAACTACGTCTCATAAAGGAATGTATCTTTGTTGTTCCACTTGTGGATAAATTTCTTCAATGTCTAGCGATCCCGTTGAATCCTCGCTGAGTGGTTTCCCGCCTTGGCGATGTGATAGGTATGCAGGGTTCTAAATGGCCGACGATACTCGAAGTCTCGGCCTTGAGATGCACAGCCAAGAGCCTAACTTAATACAGGTCATATCAGCCGCTCCAGGGCCCGCGGGGCATTTAATTTGGGGCCTATTATGGTGGAACAGGGGGGTGAGGACCAGATCTGCTCTTGGCTCTTAGCCATCTTCAATTCTCAATCTCGCACTGGACCCACGAGCCTGACATTGGACCAATCCTCAGATAGTACCCTCCATTAACGCCGAGTTAGGTGATCTAGACCGTAACCGTAACTAAACTACCGACCGTACTGAGTTTCTCTTAGTTACTCTGAGACCGCTGGAACGTTTGCTTGGGGGCCGTATCAATTCGGAAGTCGCAAAGCTGCGGTTATGGATACCCTGGTATCGAATAGACGCCCGAGTACCCTTATGCTTGCATTCAAGTGACGTGGTGATGTTTGGTTCACAGCATGTCAAATCCACAGTACCAAAGAGGAAGTGGCCGTACTTCATCTACGTACTGTCAGAACAACTGTCGGGTATAAGTAGGGGGACACTTCTCTTCATATCACATCCCTTCATCCTCATCCAACACTATCTAGATCAGAAAGATTCTACCAAGCTCCTTGCCCAATATGCTCTTCAACGCCTTCACCACCACTGCCATCGCAGTCTGCTCTCTTCTCGCCGTTCCTGCTCTGGCCAACCCCATTGACACCCTTCCCGCAGGTCTTGACTCCCACCTCGAGAGCCGAGCCAACGACATCACGGTCAAGTTCTGGACCACCACCACATGCAGAACCTCACGCTCCAGGAAGGGCTACAACAGTGGATATTGCATCAAAGACCTGGCCTCGAAGGACCATGCTGTTAGCATGCAGGAGAGAAAGAGGACCAGCTGCCACAGTATGCTAAACTCCACTCTTAGACGATAATGCCTGTGCTTACAAGTCGTTTCTTTAGTGATCAGATACAGGGAGGGAAACTGCCAGGGCTATTCCGAGAAGGGCCTTAATCTCAATGATTGCTTCAACATTGGAGATGATTGGAAGTCTATGAAGTTCCAGTGTTAGAGTTTCAATAAGTCATACTCTTTTAGAGACGACATGAAGTTGTTTTCTAGCTCAGACTCTCCTCAATTTGGGGAAGTGAAAGGGACGCAGATGTTCACAATATACCGTGGAGGAATAATAAAATATGGCTATAAGGTGTAGAAAGAAACAAAAGTGCAGTAGTGATCCGATCGTTAAATGGTCTTTCCATAGTATTGGACTCCAGATTATATCGTCTCATCTACACACTGAACTTGGACATATTATATACACAATCTTATGAATTTGAATTAAACTAGCTTTCCTCTTGACGCCTTGCCTAATCCATTTGCTCTGGATATTCTTGCTCTATTGTGATCGCGTACCCAGGCCTTGAGCCTAAGTTAATAATACTCTCTCGTTCTCATCATTCATCCCAAGTTTAATCGGCAGCGTCAAGAGTTTGCTACCGTCATTCTCTTCCTCCTCGCCATTTGCAAGTCTTCTCACTTCTGAAGCGTTATAACCTACCAGTGGAGAGGCCAATGCTAGAGCTACAAACTCGGATATCGTGTCTCGAGACTTGCCAGGCCGCTCCCCACTTACCCCGAATATCGCTATATAGATCCCAAATACAAGTACCAATGCCACGTGGATGAAAAGAGCTGTGATAGCGAAGTATACCGTTGTACTTTGACGGCCATATCCCCATCCATATCTGTAGACCTCCCAGTCGATAGATACTGGCTCATCGACTTCAGTTGCCTCGAACACTTCCGATCCAGGATTGCCATCTTCGTCAGGATGGGGCTCCCAGAATTCTTCTATCCCCTGCGACAAGCCATTCTGGAGGTTCTTGGTAATCAAGCGCATCTTTAGACTAATGGCATTACGGGACATGCCATCAACTATGGCGAGAGAGAGTATAGCAGATACAGTCTTGGAGATCTCGTTTATATAGGATTCAACCTTTGACCCATCAGTCGTGAAGTTTCCCAGCTTTCTTCCAGTTGCTGTGTTGAAAGGTGGAACAAAGTGATTCGGAATATAGTCGTCGTCATCCTCATCATGGTCGTCGTCAGTTTTTATAAAGGTATTCATTAAATTCTCAATCGCTGTGACGCCTCTTTTTCCGTTCTTAACGTTGTAATGGTATCTTGTTTTGAGATTCAGTGATCTGGCCCAAGATGTGTCAATCATGACGTTTGGTGACGTGAGCCCTCCAGGAGGACTAGACGTGTTTGTGGGATCCCAATAACGCCTCAGCGACATCAGGTCAGTGAAATTACTGTGGATTGTGTTGTCCATCGTGGGATCGTATTCAAGAGATACATCTACCCAGCGGGCATCGATCATGCATGGGAGGATGATGCTGTCAAGCTTTGCTTTATCGCCTTGGAGATAATACGCAGGGACCGTTGCGACTGCAGCGAGAGAAAGCTTGGGATTATGAAACAAAGCCGAAGCGTCGACCCATCTCAGAGTAGGGATACGAAGAGTGGATTCTGTGTGATGCCAATCCTTTTGTTTAGCGTTTCGATTCCCCATTCGTTGGTAGTTGTCGGTGTCCTCTTTGTCAACAAGTTGACTGAAGTTTCTCAGATTGTTTACCTTGAATATAGGATCCTGAATCTTCTTGGTGGCATTGATCCAAGAGAAGGGAGAACACTGGACCTGCACCAGTGGTGCACGAATGTCCTGGATGCTGGGTCGAAACTGTGGGCGCTCTATGTCGTTTACCTTGCCTAATTTCTGTTCTCGGATGTGGTTCCAGAGCAGACCCGCTATCATGGCGATTGAAGTATGGGAAGTTGTGGCGACAGGGAGACTTTCATTTGCTGCGGTATAATTATTGAACTCTAGCGTTGAACTGATTTTCCGGTACGACTTTGCAACTGGTAGCTTAATCTGGGTTTCGAGATCGATCCCGTCGGTTTGATACGCTTTAAGTAATGAGAGAAGGGTGCTGTACCCTCCTCCAGGATATTGATCCCAGCTAGGATCATCCTCACACTTGCCACGCGGCGTCAGGTATGACGGAAACACTCGACTCGAGTTTCCGGTGATGAGGGTTGTAAAGTTTTGGCCGTTGAAGGCGTCATGGACTTTCCACCAGTCAAGTGTCGGAGTGAGCAAGATAGCGGATGATGGAGCAATAACGTTGGCGTAAACAGCGGCCATCGCAAGACCTATAGCGAAGAGAAAATTTTGGTACTGGGAAGGCTTGTGCAAGGCACCCCAAAGCCCTTTTGACCAGAGCCAAGGGACTGAGCCAAACCGATATACCCCATCCAGGACGCCAAACGACACACCCTGACCTCGAAGCATATGTCTTATAATATGGAATGCCATGGCAGTCAGAGAGGCTTGGATGAGGGCTTCGCGGTTTGGTCAAACCAGTATATCTCACGAAGTCTGAACTGGACAATGACGATAGTAATAGCGATGGCTAAAACGTGAACCGCCACTGAGATGATCTGTAGTTTATTCTGGTATGGTATTGCAAATCTTCTGGGCTTTGAGATGGAATTCACGAGGCTTTCTCTTGACAAATGAGATCCTGTCGGAAGCGTGTTCAAGGCTATGCTGTCTGATGAGGTGCTGATGGGTGACGTGAAATGGTAATTCGGTACCGAAAGTAGGCGGTCGGTCGCCTTGACTGGCGTATGGCTTTCTATGTCGACCATCCTGATGAGGTTCTTTGATATTGTAAAGAGTGTCACTGACGTTGAATCTTGTCTTGACTTTCCCAGACGAGGAATGCGATCATAGAGCGTGGGAGGCTAAATTCAGAAGGGAATAGACATGCTCTGTTTCAAGGCAGTCGTAGCGTATTTAAGAGCAGGAATTACCAGAGCCTCGCGAAATATTTACAAAGGTAACTCTTGTGCCAAGAACTGCAGAAACTCAGCTAGAATATAAATAGTCATTCACCACGTCCTAAAAATATCATTGCTGCAGGTAACCCTGTTGTTTTCATAAGCCTGTATGGCGGGTCGTGGTTACACGGTGACAATGATTTTAACACTTTAATAAACATCGGATGGGTCGGGGACCTCCAAGAATGACAGGATTAGTCCGAGTGGGTGACTTTCTGGGCTGAATTGAAGTCCTGGCTTTGTGCTACATTAACACATTAACTACCCAATGAGGTCTTTTGCAGCAATGAGCCCCCAACTCACGTTAGCCACCTTGCTGTTGGATTTAACATGGGGGTTGAAAATAGCAGTTACCTGGCGGCATGTGTAATCAATACAGTACTAGTAAGCGCGAAAGTTATAGACGAAGAAATAATCTACTATTATATGGGTGACGTTTTAAGATTGGATTATTTCTATTCGGAGTTGCGTCGCTCTGTTTAATCAAACGCTAAAGCAACAAGATTATCTTGTGCTTCACAATAAGACTGCAGTCATCAATTAGGAGCTGAGTTTACATTTAGTGCACCCACATGAAGTTGTACCGGGGCTGTACCTTGTGATAGTCCTGTGTGTCAGCCTACATATCAATATGGCGTGCCTGCAGAGCCTCGTTAGCCAGGCTGCCCGAATTCCCTAACTTGAATACACTAGTACACGAATTAAGCACAATTTAATGACGAATGGTCTAGGAGTAGTTATTCTAGTTCTCAAATCATATTTTATTAGGCGAGAGAATCATAACTTGAAAGGGATATTTGGATAGAAAGCTCACGACGTGGTAAAACCTTGAGAGCTATGCCAAGTAGATAGCTGACCTGCCGGTCTGGCTGACGCCGATACGTTTCACCATCAAGCTTAGAATAGCAAAATGGGCGGCTGAAAGCAAATTCCCCATCTGATCCTAGCTAAGACTTGACGAAAACCCGCGGTAACTTCTCCATGTCGCCGTGTTAGTGGCAGCTACCTCATTCCTAGTCGTGCGAGAGCACCAAATTAAGTGTTCCTGCTATTGGATATGACTACTGTATATGCGCCAGAAGAAAAGCTTCTTGGCAGTCCGGAATGATTCTCGGGAGGTTTTGACACATGCATCTGCATGAAATTACCGCACCCGCAAAAAATACCTGGCTTCACTGGCTGGCGTCTGGATGCCAAGATGCATGGGGTCTCGGCTTAGAGCATACCATTGGTTAACGATGTCTTGTCGGTCCGTTTCCTTGTTAGATCGATCAATTGACACGCAATGAGGCCTCTTTACATGTGGGTATACACTATGTTCAAATATGTGAGTTCATCTGGAAATGAGATAGAATGAGAGGATTTATAGCTACCAAGCCCAGCTTCTATGGGCCCTTTAAAGTCCACAGATTAATCCCCAGCTACAAACATGTTACTCCCATGCTGGAAGTTCTTCGGCTTCCTCGCAGCAGCCCGACTTTGCGAACTAAAAGTGCCAGACTCTGATATTACGACATGGTGGCACGAAAACTCGGTCGTCAACACCAATACCTCAGTAGCGGCTGATGAGGTACGGCGTTCACGACGATACAACGTCTCCGTTTCCCTTGCGGGTGAGGATGACTTTCATCATTCTTTCGTCTATGAGTCCATTCCTCGTAATGGTAATGGCAAGATGTTCGATCCAGCTCAGCCAAGGAAAGAGTATGACTTTGCGGACGGAGATGGGATTACCACTGAGGCAGATGAGGGAATTAATATGGCTTGGACGCAGTTTATCTACCGCAAAGACGTTGATGTTTGGATTGTTACTACTGACGGGTCTTCGATTGGCCCAGCTTCCAACGTTGTCATCCGCCCTGTTGATCTTGGCTTTTCAGTTAAGAGTCCAAAGCATAACACTGTCTTGGTTCGAGTGCCTTACCAGAAATCCGGGGCTAGATTCTCTGTTGAGTTCAAGGACGATCTCTTCACGTACAGGTCCAACGGCACTGACTATGTGAATGATGGTGGTGTCATAGTCAGTGAGGAACCCAGAAATGGCCTTATCATCTTCGCCAGCCCGCCTCTGCCCAAGGATCTAATTCCCTCCAAGACATCCAGCAACGTACAGGTCATCCACCCTGGAAAGATGACGCAAGACACTTTCGGGTCCAAACCAACCATGATCTTCGAACCGGGCGTCCATTGGATAGAGAAGGATGGTGTCCTTGGCAAGGACCATATCAAGTTGAATCCGAAGTCTTACTACGTATATTTCGAGCCCGGTGCCTACGTCAAAGCAGCGCTGGAATACACAACGAAATACCCCACTTTCCATACAGTCGGCTATGGAGTGTTGTCGGGCGAGAACTATGTCTACATGGCCAACACAGTCAAGAACTACACGGCTGTTAAAGACGACCGGTACAGTCTCCGTATGTTCTGGCACCAGTCCGTGACAGACAGTCAGACATGGAACTGCATCGGGCCAACGCTCGCCTCGCCGCCGTTCAACACCATGGATCTCTATCCCAAGAACAGCACTCCTCACGAAGAAGACAACAAAGTTAGTGCACATATCCGCGATTACAAGCAAGTCGGGGCATATTATTTCCAGACCGACGGAATACAGATGTATAAAGGTTCAGTTCGCGATGTATTCTGGCACGTCAATGATGATGCTATCAAACTATATCATTCGGGAGCCCAACTTCACGGCCTGACGATCTGGAAAGCTCGGAACAATGCTATTATTCAGATGGGTTGGAAGCCGCGTAATGTTAGCGACGTATCGGTTAGTAAACTCCGCGTCATTCATAATCGGTGGATCAAGCCCGATGCGTATGTTCCGTCGGCTATTCTGGGTGCGTCGCCGTTCTACGGTGATCCAAAGGAGATCGACACTCAGCGGACCATGCAAGTCAAAATTGATGGTGTCGTCTGTGAGGGGGTTTGTGCAGCACTCATGACGATTGCTCCAATGCAAAACTTCGACTTGCAGATCTCAAATGTGTATTTTGAGGCGTTACATAACGATACGGAGCTGAGACTTGGAAGAAGCGTCGTTGGTATGGACGCCGGGGAGGAGATGGATAATTATACTCCCGGGCAGGCAAACTTGACGCTGGATATTCATATTAAGAACTGGACAATTGCTGATACGGAAGTGGATAAGAAGAATGCGGGCGAGGATGGATTGGGCCAGCTGAAGATTAACCCCACGTTTGATGGAGACTGGAGCATATGATCTCAACATTGTGAGTTCAGGTCATGTGAGTTTTGAGGCCCTGTTATACAATCAAGAATTTTGCACTGCCCTCCCTATAATTGAAAGTGACATAGACACAAAATCAGGCTTCGTAACACACACCAGGGATTTAATAAGCATAAGCTACTTCTCCCCTGATAAAAAAAGGCAAGATTATTGTCCTCCCAGAATGGCCATTCTACTAGCAAGAAAAAGCATTTCAAGTTTCGTGTTTCTGAACACTGTTACCAGGTAATGCCCTCTGGACATATTACTGCAGAAGTATTCACACGATGAATACCGAATATCAACATGAGCTGTAGGACGCATTACCTTGGGTGGGGCATGCGTTCCCAAATCAGGGGCGCTCTCCCTTATCGATACAGCCACTCGCCACTTGTTTTTCTTTCCTACCTTGGCCTTAATGGTTTACAAGGCTGGCCACCATTTGAGAGGAATCGGTACTTTGTAAGATAAGTAAAATTAAATAGCGAGCGCTGATTATCCTAATATCCAAGGAAGGGGAAGGCTTCAGACGCCAGAAACGCTTGACAGGATGAAGGGAAATGCACTTTAGGAGAAGTGCATTTCCGTGACAAGCCAAACGCGCAAATGCGCCTCTGGGCTTTGCCTAATGATCATGCGTACTTCCTACCTAGTGGTCTAATTGGACCGCACTGATCTGCTGTCTCACTCCGCCTCCAAGTTTCCTGAAGCCATGGCGAGCTGAAACTTTTAGTTATAGCCACTTCAGTTGAGGCGTTTTGCGGCTCGCATTACAGGCTTGAAAGTTCTGTTTTTCTTTTCAATTTTGCTTTTTATTAGATATGACGGCCAAAGGACGTCCTAGAATATTGTGCTATTATGCTTATGCCATCAACCTATGCAAAATGTGCACTGGCCGGGGGCAATATATATTGTTCTGATACCCCCATGTACCAATTTCGATCAGTACTCACTCCAAACCGTTTTGCTTGGTTTATCTCTTGTCAACTGTCTGACTCCTGTTTCCTTCCCGACCTTACTATGGAGAGCCATGATATTTATACAGGTATATGGCGAAACTACTCCACCGCAGGTCTAGACGGCAAAGTTATAACTCTGCCCATACAGTCTGCTGGTTATCTTATCTCGGGTCTGACGGTTCTCCTCACCCTGGCTGTGGGGAGCTGTTGGACAATTGCTGCTTATGCTCTCCACCAGTGCCACGTTTCAGACGCTACCGACCCGCTGGAGCTTCAATTACAAGTCCTCCTCCGCAACGTTGAAAAGCCAACGTCTGCTGCGTGGCATCTCGCCAAGATTTGGTGGGCTTGGAGGAAGTCTAGTGTCCGACATGTCCGCAAACTGCTCTGTACAGGCCTGTTCGCTATCATTTTTGCCGCCGCGATCGTCCCAGTCGGTACGATCGTGGCAAGCATCGCTAGCACGCGAGAGGAAGTCGTGCTGGTGCTAGCAAAGCCAAGAAACTGTGGCTATGTCAGAAGCAACTTTTCAGTTTCTTCCAGCAATGACGCCTTTGCGGCTTCATTTGCGTACACCACTGACAAGGCGATCCGCGGTCGAGCTTATGCTAAAGCGTGGTATCGGAACGCAGAGGCGTCGCGGCGCGATCCTCCCTCTAGCTTTCCCGTTGCAAGGCTACCTTATCGTAATGATACAGTGCCCTGTCCTTTGAAAGGCAATCGATGTCGCTATTATGCTGCTGATACGAACGACGAAAACATGGCCATTGCGTTAGACACGGGTCTGTTGGATACTGGCGCCTATCTGGGCATTAATGGGCCCAAGGAACACATGATCCAGTTTCGAAAGAAGACGACTTGCGCGCCTACCAGAATCCCCGATCTTTGGGTGCCCTACCAAGACGGGTCCGATAATTTCACAGCCCTGAAGGCAGGGCCTTATGAAGGACCTGGCAATATTACGCTCAAGTTCAACACTCGTATCCGGGATGAGAATGTCGGATATGTCACGGGGTAAGTTTGATTGGCGCAAGAATCCGGTGAGATAGAAATGATGAGACTAATGTGTTTTCTTCCAGATTTGCAGTGATAGACCCTGGTGCCATCAGCGCGTCCTTGGATCAATGGCAGCCGACTGATCCCTTCAAACATGACGACGCGATTCTCACTCTTCACGCGATTCTCCCCAACGTTGTATATCTCGGGCCCGTCAACGATCCGATGTTTCTAGCGTCAGGTAAAAGCAAGAAGATGAATCTAGGGAAATTGACGTATCGCAGTGACTACTTCATTACCTCCCTAGTTTGTCTCGATCAGGTACAGGTCTGTAACCAAAATAACAGAAAGTGCTCCAGCCTCACGCACAACAGTGAGGCCTTCAGACAAGGCGAGACAGGCCTGGATCTTAACAGCCAGCAACTTGGCGTATTAAAGAGAGTTATTTCTGCCCTCGTGGATTCTACGACATTCCAGTCCGGAATCGCCCCACTTGGAAGCACAGGTTTGTGTTCCTTTTCTATACAAAGAATAACGTGCTGTTATACTAACAAGAGAACTTCTGAACAGGGTTACTGGCAAGCGAACTAGTGTATAATAATGCCATCTCCCCACCGCTCCCGGATGACCAATGGATCAAAGAAGTGACTCTCTGGTTCCAAACAGGTCTTAGTATTCTCCAGGAGCAAATAATGCTCTTCCTGGATATATCCGCATATAATGACACCAGCGGAGCCTTTATACTGGAACCAGTCAAAGAGTTACCTGGAAAAGATCGTGCCGAACTGGAGTGGCAGTGCGCCGCCCAGAAGATCCCTTCCCAAGGCCAGGTTCAGAACTTCAATTACGCTGCTGTCATCGTCATTGGCACTGTGTCGGCGAGTATTATCCTCATAGGATTGATCCTTGAGCCGGTTATTGGATGGATAAGGAAGCCGAGGAGTGAAAAGAAGAAAAAGGAGAAAAAGGAGACGAAGGAGAAGAAGGAGAAGAATAAACGACAGCTGGCAAGAGATATGGACAGCTTATATTGGCTTCTTCGTGCGGCATTGCTGGGTATCGGCGTGACAGCTTGGAATGACGATGAGGGAGACATTCCAGTTACTACTACGGGAGTAACAGTACAACACCCAGGCAAAGACGACAGGGAGTGTTGCCAGAGGTTTTATATAGCTGACAGGTTAGAACCCTGTTTGCATCAGATCAGAAGTGGTAACTTGCCGTCTAGTAATTAATAGTTTGTAAGAACCTTTCTAACAGCTAGTATGATTATATTAGTATTTACTTCTTAAAGTACGGCTATCAATAAGAGAAAGATAATATTAATTTCAACTTACTATGAAGTTAATCTAGGGTTATACTAATAGATACATTAAGAACTTAAACTTCTTATAATTCTATTCTTTTGAAGTAAAACAGTTCTTTATTTGAGTTTCTGAACTACCCATGTTAATGCTGGCATATCCGGGTGGAGGAACAAACGGGGAATGTTAGTAACAGAAGTGGGTTTCATCCTCCCACTTTCGAATGAGATAGATAATTCGGTTATCTCGGCGACACAAACCCCTCATCGGTGTATGTACAACGGCCCGGAAACACAACGGGAGATAACGTTTGAGTATTCCAGCTTCGAAAATAGACCAATCAGCAAGAATGGGGCCAATGTGCTATCGTTATGTACTGCGGGGAAGTCGTTGAGTGGCGTATCATTCGAAGATGGGGTATGGGCAAGGGTGGGATGATGGTTTGTGATAACTACAACTAGTCCGAGTGGCTGACTTTAGAGCGGAGGGACTAGTTGCGCTGACCATCTTGTTTCTCCAGTTCTTTGTTTCTGCCATTCTGAAACCTAATTCTGTACTCATCTTCACCAATTGACTTCTATCTCATTCGGTTCATATCGCTACAATGAAGGCTTCACAAGACGCTCTCCCATCACCGCCCCTATCCGACACCGATGAAACAGCCCCCAAAACACCAGTAGAATCCCTCGCAGCCCTGATAAAAACAACCTACAGAACCTCCGATATAAAATTCTACATCAATGGCCGGCCAGTAACCGTCAAGAACCCCAACCCGGATTGGGTTCTCCTCGATTGGATCCGAGCTCAAGATTCCTTGAAAGGAACGAAACTAGGATGCGGAGAAGGAGGTTGTGGAGCATGCACTGTTGTGTTACAGACGCTTGAAAATGGACGTGTTAGGCATCTTGCGGTAAATGCTTGTTTGTATCCGCTTGTTGGAGTAGATGGAAAGAGTCTCATTACTGTTGAGGGGCTGGGCACCGTGAAGAGGCCGCATCCGCTTCAGGAGAGGATTGCCAAGATGCAGTAAGTAAGAGCATAGGTTGACTGAGGACACAAGCTTATAGGGTTAGTGGCACACAATGTGGTTTCTGTACGCCAGGAATTGTCATGAGTTTGTATGCGCTCATCAGAAACTCGTACCGAGATGGGAAATTCCACTTGACCAACTCTGAAGTTGAGCTACAGGGCCATCTGGACGGGAACCTGTGTCGCTGTGTAAGCCGCACACAGAGAGCTGTTTGGTATCTGCTTACACAAATTAGACCGGCTACAAACCCATCTTCGAAGCAGCGCGAACCTTCATCACAGAAGACCTCAACGGAACAATAGCCGAGATCAACGGCAAGGAGATAGCGCCCGAGAAACCTGTAGAAGACGACTATGCAACTGTTGCGCTCGAGTCTAACAAGACTGGGTCATGCGGTCGCCCTGGGGGATGCTGTCGAGATAATCCTGATTCAAAAGGATGCGGGTCAACTGGTATTGATGAATCGAACCCGAAGGAGATGGAGACACCGATCACAGCTCCCAGACCACAGGAAACGCCGAGTACACCACCAAAATCACCCGACAAGCCGGAGTTTGGTGAGACATTCTCACCATACGATCCCTCAGCAGAGCCTATCTTCCCTCCAGCGCTACGAAAGTACGAACCTCAACCGATCTGCTACGGCGATGATCGAAGACTCTGGTTTCGACCGACAAACCTCCAGCAGTTGATTGAACTGAAAGGCGTGTATCCAGAAGCCAAGATCGTCGGTGGCGCAAGTGAGACTCAGATCGAAGTTCGCTTCAAGAAGCGAGCTTATCGAGTATCTGTTTTTGCAGCAGATATCACTGAGCTGAACAGCTTCACCGTGGATCCCCTGCAGATGAAACAGGCCGAGCTTGAATCACTGAAAAGTATCAGTATACCAGGAAACTTATCCTTGACCACGGTTGAGGAGATGTGTACTGCCTTATACGCAAAGTTAGGTCGGCGAGCTTCAACGCTAGAAGCTCTCCGGAAACAACTTCGATACTTTGCAGGCCGACAGATCCGCAATGTAGCCAGTCTAGCAGGCAGTCTCGCTACAGCAAGTCCCATCTCCGACTCCGCACCCGTCCTCTTAGCAGCAGGAGCCAAGGTGAAGATCCATTCTCAAACCGGCGGGATAACTGAGATTCCGTTGTCTTCATGGTTTCTGTCCTACAGAACAACAGCACTGCCTGAAGATGGAGTCATAACAGAGATTGTGATCCCGCTTCCGGGCGGTGAGATTGAGATTACCAAGGCTTACAAGCAGGCGAAGAGGAAGGATGATGATATCGCTATCGTCACTTCTGGGTTTAGGGTGAGGTTAGATGGGGATGGGGTTGTGGAGGATGCTGCTTTTGCTATTGGTGGTATGGCACCGACGACTGTCATGGCTGAGAAAGCGCAGGAGGCTGTCGTGGGGAAGAAGTGGTCTGATATTAAGACCTTGGATGCTGCGATGGATGCTCTGCTGGAACAGTTTCAGCTTCCGTTTGGTGTACCTGGCGGCATGGCGCATTATCGAAAAGGTCAATTCATTCCCGCAAGCATCATTTACTTCTTGCTAACCATCCTACAGTTCTCACTATTTCAATGTTCTTCCGGTTCTGGCACGAAGTGGTTCATGACCTTGGTCTCGGCGAAGTTGATCCTGATCTCATTGAGGAGATTCACCGTGGCATCTCATCCGGTAATCGTGACAACTTCACTTCTTCAATGCTGAACAGAGGTACCAAAGAAGTTGGCCGCCCAATTCCACATCTCTCTGCAGTCAAACACTGTACCGGTGAAGCAGAATACGTGGATGACATGCCACGTCAGCACAACGAACTCTTCGGGGCGTTGGTCATGTCCAAAGCAGCTCATGCTGAGATTCTGAGTGTGGACTACTCAGCCGCCTTGGAGATGCCTGGTGTACTTGGCTACATCGACAAGGATAGCATTACCAAAGAGCAGAATACCTGGGGCCCTGTCGTCCTCGATGAACTCATCTTTGCAGATGGAAAGTCCAACTATTACGGTCAAGTCATCGGCATGATCTACGCCGAGACAGCGCTTCAAGCTCGTGCTGCTGCCGATGCAGTCAGAGTGACATACAAACGCCTCCCCACCATCTTCACAATCGACGAAGCCATCAAAGCAAAGAGTTTCTTCAAACACGGAAAAGAACTTCGGAAGGGCGATGCTCTTAGCGGCTCCCTAGATGAGGCATTTAGCAAGTGCGCTCACGTCCTCGAGGGCACCACCCGCATGGGCGGCCAAGAGCACTTCTATCTCGAGACCAACGCAGCGCTTGCGATTCCTCACATGGAAGATGGCTCAATGGAAGTATACATCTCGACGCAGAACCTCATGGAGAACCAAGTCTTCACCGCGCAAGTCCTCGGCGTGCCTATGAATAGAGTGAACATGCGTGTGAGGAGAATGGGAGGTGCGTATGGAGGTAAGGAGTCGAGAACGACGGCTCTGTCGATGTATCTTGCTCTTGCGGCGCAGAAGACGGCGAGGCCTGTGAGGATGATGCTGAATCGCGATGAGGACATTGCGTTTAGTGGACAGCGACATCCGTTCCAGTCAAAATGGAAAGTTGGTGTTGATGAGAAGGGTAAGATTCAGGTTTTGGATATTGATATCTATAATAATGCGGGTGCTTCGCTGGATATGAGTGGCGCGGTCATGTAAGACATCCTTAAAAGTGATGAGGCGAGGGGCTAACAATGACAGGGACCGAGCTTGTACGCACGTCGACAACTGCTATCACATCCCTCACGCTTGGATACGTGGACATGTCTGCAAGACGAATACAGTCAGCAACACAGCGTTCCGAGGCTTCGGCGGTCCACAAGGGATGTACATCACCGAGACCATCATGTTCAAGATCGCAGAGTCTCTAAACATGGACGTTGATGACCTTCGAATGCGGAACCTGTACGAAGTCGGTCAGCGAACACCTTTCCTGCAGGAGATCACAGATGACTTCCATGTTCCTACCATGATGGAACAGCTGAGTTCCTCCTCCGAGTTTGAGAAGCGCAAGTCCGCCATCAAAGATTTCAACGCCAAGAATCGCTTCAAGAAGCGAGGTATTTCCAGGGTCCCAACCAAGTTTGGTCTAAGGTAAGTCTCCTCATCCAAATCAAAAACACCTTGCTCACAAAACTAGCTTCGCAACAGCCCTCCACCTCAACCAAGCAGGAGCCTACGTCAAAATCTACGAAGACGGCTCCGTCCTCCTCCATCACGGCGGCACAGAAATGGGTCAAGGTCTATACACCAAAATGACCCAAGTAGCAGCTGAAGAGCTCAACGTGAGCGTCGATTCAATCTACAACAAGGAGTCCCAATCCGACCAAGTCGCCAATGCTTCGCCCACCGCTGCATCATCTGGTAGTGATATCAACGGCCAAGCTGTGAAGAATGCATGTGATCAGATCAACGAGAGGTTGAAGCCGTATAGGGAGAAGTTTGGAAAGGATGCTAGCATGGCGGTTATTGCGCATGCGGCGTATAGGGATAGAGTTAATCTGGCGGCGAATGGATTTTGGAAGATGCCGAGGATTGGGTATGAGTGGGGGAACTGGAAGGACCCTTTGCCGATGTGAGTGTACTGATTTCTGATAATGAGGATCTGCTGACGTTGAGGTTTAGGTACTATTACTTTACGCAAGGAGTGTAAGTTTTACAGGATCATTCCTGATGGGGGGTTTTGCTAACGACGACTTTAGGGCCATATCTGAGGTAGAGCTGGATACTCTCACTGGAGACTCGACAGTGCTGAGAACAGATCTCATGATGGTATGTCATTAGTGAAACAACCACTCAACCACCCGTCAGTTCTGACCATTTATAGGACATCGGTCGGTCTATCAACCCAGCAATGGACTACGGTCAAATTGAGGGGGCTTTCGTCCAAGGCCAAGGTCTCTTCACAATGGAAGAATCCCTCTGGATGAAATCCGGCGAAATTTTCACCAAAGGCCCAGGAACATACAAGATCCCCGGTACGTCCTCTCCTCTCATCCAACTAACCCCCCCTTTACTAATCCATCTAGGTTTCTCCGATATCCCCCAAGTCTTCAACGTAAACACCCTTCAACACGACGCACAAGGCAACCCCATCAACTGGTCAAAGCTTGGCTCCATCCAAAGCAGCAAAGGTGTAGGCGAACCTCCTCTGTTCTTGGGTTGCGCTGTATTCTTCGCTTTGAGAGAGGCAGTCAAGTCTGCGAGGGAGATGAATGGTGTTAGTGAACCTTTGGTGTTGGATGCTCCGTGTACGGCGGAGAAGTTGAGGCTAGCTGTTGCGGATGATCTTGTGAGGAGGGCAGTTGTTGAGAGGAAGGATGACGAGCAGGACTTCTTTATCAGGATTGAGTCTTAATATATAGATAGATCTTACTAGAATTATATAATGTACAAAGGTTGAGGTTGACTCTCATTGGTGATCATTCCATACCATCCGCCGACTTGTAAATAGCTCTCCCCAACCAAGTGAAACTCATTGCCTCCACTACTACCAATCTCTCTCAGCACGAACGGAACCGAAGCCCCAACACAGATAAACAATTGATCTCCAATCTCTGCTTCCGCAGGCGCAAGTCCGAAATATCCTGTATCAGTAACAAAGCACCGACGCAAATGACAAGCCTGGAGATTCCAGCGTATAGTATCCCCATAACTCGGTGGCCAGCCCTTCGCTGCATAATGAAAAGGGATATCCCGGAACGGCAGCACACCATCTTTCCTCTCCAGCGCCAATTTTCGTATTCTGTCTTCCCACTTAAAACCGAACCTGTACTCCTCATAAGACTCTTGCGAGCCTCCAATGATGAAATCTGGTTTTGGAAAGTCATTGACAGCGTCTTCTTCTTCTTCTTCTTTCATGCTTGAGTCGTATAAATAGCGCGCAAGCCGAAGGAACCTGAAGAAGAATTCTGCTCGGTGAGGAAACTTGACGTCACCGGCATCGGTTGCAGGGCGTGTTGATATATCAATCTTGTTAACGAGACTATACCACTCCTGGGCAGGAAACGGTGTTTGGCCCGCGATGTAAGTTGACCCCAATTTGGAGATATTTCCACATGAATACCCATATCCATGCAATGCAGGTATTTCTCCCTCACCCGACCTCCGCATCACGACTTGTGGTTTGTCAGGAACTGCCTGGGTTAACATCCCCTCCCAAAACTCTTCCATTCCCATAATAGCATCTGAGTCGATAACATATCGCTGAGGCGGGACATTCCAGTCTGGAACCCAAGACGGCATGTTTTCTGTCCTCGGGTTCCCTTGAACAGCACTCAAAAGGCTCCAGCCGCAGCTAGGTAATAAAGACAGAGCGCAGTCCGTGTAGATTCTCGCTGGCGTATCTTGGTACCTTGGTATCAGGTCAAGTGGCTTGTTATGAGACTGGAGGATCGGGAGCAGACTGTAAATCTTGTCACGTGGATCAGTTGCCTCGCAGTGTCGTGAATCAAGAAGAGAATAGAACATGAATGTTTGAGCGTCCTCCCCTACAAAGTATTTGCTAGCTTTTGAGACCACGTACGGCAGTCGAAACTGCAGTCTCGTGTTGACCAGATAATGCTTGAAGTTCTCCATTGCAGGCCATGGTATTTCTTTTTCTCCGCAGTACACGGTCTTCTCGGATGATAGGAAGACTTCTTGAATCACCCAGACCCTGGTGAACCAAGGCCGAAGGAAGAAATTCCGGAGTGCGTCCATCAAGGTGTCGGACCTTGGGAAACTTAAAGAGGAATTATCGGGAGATGGATCATAGCACTCCATCATGAATTCGATGGCCAGGTCGCTATCGTCTGCAGATTCACCGAGATAAACAACCACGCCTGTGGCCTGAGAGTATATCCTTGACATGAGGCTGACTTGGTGATTTCTCTCATCAACATTTGATTGATCAATGGCCAGGGCGTCAATCCAAAGAACTCTAGTCTTGTCTTCATATCGAAGGTGTTTTAAGGCGGAGAAGCAGTTGGAAGTTACTGAGAATTGCTGCGGAGTCTTGGAATCTTGCGTCGTCATGTCAATCATCTCTACACTGGAAGCATCACCCCACGTGTACGATAAAGCCTCGTATTCTGGCGCGCCGTCAATAGAAACCGTTATTAGCTCACAGCAGACAGCTGCATCTGTTCCGGGCAGCAGGTGGACGAGGCGAATGTGTGACGAACTAGGCAGTGGAGGTCCAGGATATGGCCGAGCCAGCTGAGTCTCCAATGCCTTTGACATTCTTGAGAGACAATTTCGACTAGGTCGGATGTATTGGACTGGATTACCTAGTGGCAAATGAGCTCTGAAATCAATTGCCAGATGAGAAGCTGGACAGAAAGAATTCTTCGAGAAATGCTGGATCTGAGTGAAATAATAAGTGCTGTTCTCAGTCTTCACCGAAACACTTAGCGCCGATATGCGGACCTTGTCCAATAAATGGGGTTGAAAAGCTCAGCTGGAAGCACGCCTATTGTGGCTGTACAAGGCGTTTTCTTATTTACAGTGGGCTAGGCTTCTGATCCCAGGTCTGATATTAATCTATCAATTGGAGAATCTACCCAGTCTTACCGCTTTCCCTTAACCCCGCAGTGAGAAGATCATTTCTTATGATCAGATACTAGTCCAACATTTGAACAATTCTTTTAAGTGTAAGTTGGACTTTAAAAGCAGTAGTGGTTGTGACTCAACACTTTGGTTGCAACGAGGATTAAAATTCGAAAAATCTTGAAGCCGTGGTATGTTTGCTACCCATGAGGCCAAATAGTGTTGCAGCAGTTCTGTTCTCGATGAACTTGGCATAGAATTGCCCAACAACTCATGTGCCTACTAATAAAAGAATGGCTTCTTTCCTTCTGACTTAGATTTGGTAAAAACATCCTTAGTGTAGTCTTCATTCCCCAAGTCTCTATCTACGTCGCATCTCATGGCTTGCGGGCGTTAATGAAGCGAACGCGTATGTAACTGTGCACTTTCTTATCTCTGAGAGCCTTTCGCATGTCCATCAGAAATACCTGATATTCATCTTTGGGCCACCCCAGAATCGAATTCCACGCCATGAGGGTATATCCTGCATTCTCTTAGAAGACCGAAGAGTAGAACAGATGACTTGCTTACCTTCAAGATCGTTCTCGATCGTTGCGCGAAGGAACTGGCCAACTTGACATAACTTGGGGTCCTTAGCCCATCCGCCGACAGGAACCTGGGCAATTTCAGATACAGAAGTTCGAAATGGCATTGTTTGAGAAAGAAGATACCTTAAAGTCAGTGACTTGCACGTCAACAAATCTAGCAGCAGCCAGAAGCTCCGCGTCTCCCTCGATCTCGCAAAAGCTACGACCAAAAGCTTTACTCGCCTCTCTGAAAAGCTTATTCCAAGTCTGCACTGCCATCACCTCGCTGGCTGTCTCGTCATCACTGAAGAAAGTTGGATTGACCTCAACAGATTCGACGAAGCCTCCAGGCTTGCAACAGCGGAACGCTTCTTTGAACAACGCGCCCCAATCGGCAATAGCGCCAATTAAATAGCGCATATGAACAAAGTCGAAGGTGCCGTTGGCCCAAGTCCAATTACCAGTTGCGTCCTCGAGCTCAAATCTGACATTCGGTGGTACCCAATCTGGTTGAATTGGGGAAAGGTCTGTTCCAATGACCTCGGCGTTGGGATATTGGTCGGCGAAGTCGCTGCGAGATATTAGTGTCAGCAACGTCTCCGTATGAGATATAAGACTCATTCGTACATTGCCCATATACCTGTTTGAGCATCAGCTGCTTTCCTGTTGTGGCTTATCCGATGCATCGCTTACCAGTCCCGGTTCCGATGTCAAGTACCTTCTGTATATCGTTAGTATAAGCAAGACACTAAAATAAACAAGGGAAACTGGCTTCCAAGTTATCTGCCGAAGGGACGAGCGAAAGCTTGCCGTCAAGAAGTAACATGAGGTAGTGGTGGCTTGCAAACTTTCAGTAGGACGATCACATGTTGGTTGCATAGTACTTCTTACGAGATGTCAATGGACTCCTTCTGCCTCTCATCATTTGGTGCGAAATATTCAGTCTCGTACTTGTCACTATTGAAGGTCCGACCCTGAAACTTTCGGTATTCGAGAATACTTGAGGTGATGGAAGCAGTCGAGCTTGCACTGGCGTGTTGCATTAGTGGTAATAGACCAGAAATATATAGCACTTACAAGTCTTCCCCTAGCGCCGAGTCATCGTCACCCTCTTGGTTCTCATCTAGAGGCTATATTGCTATCAGGACATGATCAATCCAGATTCGAGCGGGACACCGTACCTGTGCTGGAACGAGGTCCTGGCCTCCTTGGCTAGATACCTCAGCAGAAATTGATTCCGGAAGAATTTCTGTCGGGTTTCGTGGGCTTGTTTCACTGATGACTGCCGGTACCGCCTCGGTTTTGTCCATTTTCTTTTTTCGCACTTAGGATTCAGTTCGATGAATGAAACATGGCGGAGTGAGAGTTGTCGGCCGCGAGCAGAGATAGAAAATAGCGCATTGAAGCTTTGCTAGAACCAACACCCGTGATCAGATCAGGTTTGCATAGTACTCTCTTCTCTCGCCCCATCCAGCAGGGGTGCGCCAAGCGAGATGCGAGGCTAAGGCGGGACTGTAGATTGTCGCACGGTGTTGCATCTGCGTTCGCCCTGGCTCAAGGCTTAGAATCTGTGTGGTCATCACCAACAGTTACCTGGCCTGCCAATCTCATGTCGAAGACAACGACTATATATCTGAAATCGCATTCTCGATGTCATGACTCGCAGCATGGCGTTGAACCCATTGTGCTGTTCGTGCTAAGCCATCAGAAGAAATCGAGCAATTGACGATCAACTTCCTGCGAGACAAGACTGATTTCTATCAATGGCTCAAAGCATATTGGAGTAGCAGTCCACGGAAACTGTGAGAGCGAATGGATACAGGCCGTCGATTTTACTATCCTTCTCTCGATGGACTCACATGATCCACAAGACTTCGTGCCCGGAGAAGCTAGCGTCAATGTGCTTTATATTCATTTGCTGGCCGCCTAAGAAATGGCAATGGAGAGATTTTGCAAGAAATAAAATTTGATATTTTATAATATATGCATATATAGCACTTATTAACTGGGCTTCTAAAGCGATCATAGACGGCAAGGTTGGTGGAAATAATGCCGTTAGAAGTGCCAATCCCGAGTGGAATGATAAGAAGTACTGCTCCACGTTTTCGTTTCCCGAATAATCTGCGCTCATGAAAGGACCTCTCTAGGAGCAGGAAAACATCAGGCTTTGATATTAGGCATCCTAAACTCAGCGAAGTTATGCTACATTTAGTAAAGGTATCCTAAATTCATGCCAAGTTAGCTCAAGCCTTTTTGTGGTTGAGGGCTTAAATTAGCAGAGATAACTAAGTCTTTTCTCATTCAGGATCGAGTTCTCATGTTCACTTTCCTCCCCTGTATCCTCCATTAGATGGAATTGCGAAGCAGGCCTTCTATTGTGGCTGATCAAGGCGTTTTCCACTTTGCAGTGGGCTAGCCCTGATCCTTGTCTGATCTTATCGTATCACCAGGTATGAGCCATCACGTTCAGGAATCCACTCAGTCTGACCGCTGACGCTCAACCCCGCAGTAAGAAGACCGTCCCTTACAATCAGATCTTGTTTCGAGAGTTGAGGATATTTTTCACTGAGAATTAGACTCTCAAATCGTTGTCAAAATACCCAGCGACATTTGTCTCCTGAAACCTGATAGTGTAGTAACTATTGAGCCCCGATCACGGAGAAGATGTCTATCCAGAACTCAAGACTATGCTGCTTCTGCCGTAAGCTCGAGCCGGCAGACCAGCCTTGTCCTTCGCTCCAGAATCAACCAGTCCAGGCCATTCCCAGCGTTATTAATAACACCACAAAGCCATGGACGAGAAAGGACGAGGACTTGCTCGAACAGCTCCGCCAGAACCCAAGTGAGCTCTGTCAACGATGTGCCGAATTCAATATCATTCGCGCTTTCAACGAAGCGGATCCTTTGGATGAGAGCCAGAGAGGCGAGCTAGAAAAGGCCCAGTATATTAAACACGCTGAAATGCAGGAACCATACAGATTGCGCTTCGGTCTTTTGTCAGAGTTCCATATGAAGCCTTCTTGCCCGCTATGTCGGTTGCTCTATCGACTGATTCCTAGACCCCCACCGGAGCACGATACTACTGTTCTCACGCTTATTCCTTATCGGTGGCATATCCGACAAGATCACTGGGAGGGCGTTCCAGAAGATGATAAGAGAATGTTCGCAATTTGGTTTGGACTTTCAACGCCGGGTCTTGATATGTCGGGACCGAGTTTCTTTAACGTGGGTCAGCAGCTGAGAGCTGCCATGATGACGGGCGAAGCCATTGCTCTGCACCCGAGCTTGCCTTCAGAGGAAATTTACAATGCTAGGGTTATAGACGGGATGGTAGATGTTAGTCTCATCAAGAAAGGTCTCGAGCACTGTCAGAACTATCATTCAGAGAGTTGCAATGCCAAATTCGACAAAGGCTTACTCATTACGAAGATGCTTGATGTTGATACCCGGAAAATCGTTGATTGCCCTGATAACTGCGACTATCTAGCTCTCAGCTATGTTTGGGGCGGTATTCATCCAGCTGATGGGGCTCTAGAGGCCGGTACACTTCCCCAGACGATTGAGGATGCTATCACCCTGACCAAGAAGCTTGGAAAGCGTTACCTATGGGTATGTAAATCCAATGCTTCCTTAGGATACCGCTAACTGTGCAGGTGGATGCTCTCTGTATCGATCAAAGTCCCAACCCAACGTCCGAACAAGCAGCCAGCAAAGCCAAGCAGCTTCAACTCATGCACTTGATCTACTACTGCGCCACCATAACGATATTTGCTGTCGCAGGTCCGCGCTCTGACTACGGCATTCCTGGGATATCAAAGCCACGCGTGGGGTCTACACGAGAGCGCATCAACGGAGAGGATCTAATAGTCGTCCCCCCGCAGATCATGTCAGAGATCAAGTCTTCTGTTTGGCAAACTAGAGCATGGACGTGGCAAGAGGATGTTCTATCTACGAGAAAGTTGTACTTGACGGAGACTCAGTGGATATTGCAGTGTAATGAGACGTTGGGGCCGAGCGATTATGCAGAGGCGCATGACACAGCTGTGGATCTTACTTGGACCAAAGTTTCTGGTGGGAAGATGAAAGCTGGTTACGTCGAGGTAATTCGGACAAGTGCTGTTCAGACTT